TACATTCTAATTAGTCATCCATTTTTCATCTTGATGACATTTTACCATGTAAACAAAGAAAATAGTCTCTGTATTTGGACAACATGATAAAGATATTTATATTTTCCAAAGGTTAATGCTAAGATTAATATTTTTAAGATCAACTGGGTTTCAAATATATTGGGAAAGTACATCATTAAAACTTATGTTTCTCCTAAGAATGTTGAAGCACTTAGCCTCTTTGATTGGGTTCACCAACTGCAAGTCACACCAATTTCTCTTGCCAGGGATGGATGTAGAATCATAAACGAGTAGCCTCACTCTGAGCCACAAAGTCACAATCAAAATTAGAATTTAAGGATGGAGAGACTAGGGCTCAGTGAGTAATGTGTTGCCAAGCAAGCATGAGGACTGCAGTTCAAATCCCTAGAGCCCTTGTGAAGGCAAATGTAGTAGCAGGTGTCTATGATCCCAGTGCTCCTACCGCAGGACTAGAGGCAAAGACAGTAGAATGCCCAGATGCTCGAGGCCAGCTAAACTTCCATGCACAGCAGCAGCAAAGGAGGCTCAAACAAGGCAAAAGACAATGACCAGCAGTGAGGTTGTCTGCCCTCACCTGCACATAGTTTTTAAAGAATTAGAATTTAGGTTAACTCCAAAACCTCACACAAGTAAAAAGTGTATTGTAAAATCTCTCTCTGAGCCAGCGGTGGTGGCACACACCTTTAATCCCAGCACTTCGGAGGCAGAGGCAGGTGGATCTCTGTGAATTCCAGGCCAGCCTCATCTACAAGAGCTACTTCCAAGACAGCCTCCAAAGCCACAGAAAAAAAATATCTCTCTGATGGGTTCATGCTGATAGCTCCTTGTGCCTTGAGCAACACTTCACCTTGATTCTAATTACTAGCATGAGTAAATTATGGACTTTGTTTTTTAATATTTTTTATTCATTTTACATACCAACCACAGTTCCCCCTCCCTGCCTTCCTCCCCCTCTACCCCACCTCTCACTATCCCACCCTCAAAAAGAGCAAGGCCTCCCATGGGGTGTCAATAAAGCCTGGCACATTCAGTTGAGGCAGGACCGATTGGTGACTACCCTGTCATCATAGAACCTTCATCCAGTAACAGATGGAAGCAGATGCAGAGATCCACAGTCAAGCACCAGGCAAAGCCATGGGAGTCCAGTCCAGGAGAAGTATGGATTTGAAAGAGAAAGTGAACAGTTCGAATTCACAATTTACAGATGAAAAAGAAAACCAGCAAAGTGAAAAATACCTGTGTAACCGTCACCTGTATATGAGAAAGGCAGAATAGAATGCCAGTATCTAGTATCCCAGTTAAAGAGGCTTCTTGTCTGCTATTCCGGACTGAATCTCAGTCTGCTCCCACAGCTGCCCCAATGGGTAATGGACTCATCTAGTTGTCATGGTAACTCTCTTGACAACTAGTAAGTCCTCAACAAATGTTAAAACAAAAGAGCTACTCCTAATGTTTCCATATATATATATAGAGAGAGAGAGGGACATTCGTACTATGGCAAGCGCGTGGTGGTTAGAAGCCACCTAAGATGACATCTTAGGGTTTCTTTGCTGTGAAAACACACCATGACCATAAAACAAGTTGGGGAGGAAAGAGCTTATTTGGCTTATACTTCAGCACCACTGTTCATCACTAAAGGAAGTCAGGACAGGAACTCAAAACAGGGAAGGATCCTGGAGGCGGGAGCTGATGCAGAAGCCACGTAGAGGAGCTGTTTACTGGCTTGCCTCCCCTGGTTTGCTCAGCCTGCTTTCTTATAGAACCCAGGACCACCAAGATGAAACCATCCACCATGGATGGGTTCTCACTAGTTGAGAAAATGTTTTGCAGCTGAATCTCATGGGGGCATTTCCTCCACTGAGGCTGCTTCCTCTCTGATGACTCTAGCTGTCAGATGACACACAAAACCAGCCAGTCCAGAGGAGCTCTCCTACTACCATGTGAGTACTGGGGATAGAACTCAGGTTGTGAACCCTCTTGCCAGTTCCCTAAGCATATTTCTGTTTTTTTTCCAGGAGGGAAAAGGGAATCACACCCCTTTGTATGTGGTGTTGAGAAGGATACAGACCAATAAGGAAGAAGGGGCTGCAGGCCAGAATAGCCAGGAACAGGTAGGCAGTGACAGCACCCCACCCCATCCCAACCCACTCCCTCCAGTAGAATTTCCAGGGAATGATAAGATTAAGCCCGTGGATTCAGGGAACCCAGGAGACTGGTGGTGTGCCATGAAGAAACATGGTAAAGGAACCCCTGTTCTCACCTCTGAACAACTCATGAAGTGACAGTCTGCCACGGTCGCAAAGGCTCTACAGATCAGGACATCTTGAGACGTAGTCAACGCCAGCAAGGCTGGGGTCTCCTTGATCCACTGCTGTCCTTGTCTACGGGACCTGCAGCTGAACCTCCAGAGTCTGAAGGAAGAAAGTCTCTCCAACCTTTCCTAAAGCCCTAAGACTTGATGGACAAGGCTGACTCCATGGGGAGCTGTTGTGTCAGCACAGCTCGGGTGTCAGGGTATTCTGAGCAAACGTAATCACCACTGACCAAGATCTTAAAATACTCAAGACACCAGAAGCCTCGACTCTGACTTCATCCCTTTCCCTCTGAGGCAAAGGGTCTCCTATAGAGAGGCTGCCAGCCCACTGAGATCCAGCTCTCTGCCCCCACCTGCTGCCCTTGGGTTTCTGACAGGATACGCCCTCAGCTGCAGCCAAGAGCACAACCTGTGCATATTCACTACGTACCCTTTTAAAAAGGCCCCGCCCACCTCCCATCCTTCTCTCTCTCTCTCTCTCTCTCTCTCTCTCTCTCTCTCTCTCTCTCTCTCTCCCTCCCTCCCTCCCTCCCTCCCTCCCCTTCTCCCCTTCTCTCTCCCTCTCTCTCTTCCATCACTCTTGCCCCCAGGGACTGGTCTCTGCCTCTTTTGCTGCCCCCTTCTCTTTCCTCTTCCAATAAACCTATGCGAGCCCTGTTGTGTGGTATGACTTCTCTTCTCCCCTGGAGCCTGTGACACCTGTCTCCAGTCAGTCCCACAACCTTCTTCATGAATTTCATGAGCTCACTTTTTAAATGCACCACACACACTCTCCCTCTCCCACCAGGTTTAACTATTTAACAAATCCTTAACCATTTTTCTGTCACCTAACCTACATCTGTTCTTCACTCATCTGACACTGAGAATGTCCCTCAGATGTCACTTAAGTCAGATTTACAAAGCCACTCTCAAAGCTAAGCTGGGCCGTTCCAAATTGTCTTGTTGCAAATTAGAGCTCTTCCTAAGGGCATGGGAGAGTGGGAGGGGCTGTCAGAGACACTTCAATCATGATTCTACAGATGATAAAACCAAGACTCTGAGTCATGGTCACCATAGCTCAGGTACCTTCACTTCCTCAATTCCTCATCCCCAATTTACAATCCAGCCCTTCCTTAAGGTCCGCATCTATTCATACACCCTTTCTGTCAAGAACACAGCACAACCATCTTCCAAACAGCATGAACACAGCATTTCATCTCCCAAAACCTCTTATGGGAACCCAGGCTGCAGTACAGATCTTTCCAGAAAATTTAATTGTTGGGTATTGAATATTGAAAACATTTGCTCTTAGAATAAATGATTTTGAAACTTCAGGTAGGATCATGCCCTACATGATGTACTTACTGTATTTCAATAGTGAAATTATAGAATTTCTTATACTGTAATACCATAAGAATTTCATTCATCTTATCTTTGCTATATGCATTACATTAACGTTTTCCTAAAAAAATCATTTTTGGGGGGGGTTTGAGGCAGGGCTTTGGAGGCCGTCCTGTAATTAGCTCTTGTAGACCAGGCTGGCCTTGAACTCACAGAGATCTGCCTGTCTCTGCCTCCCCAATGCTGGGATTAAAGGCATGCGCCACTACCTCCCGGCCCTACCTTTGACTTTTATCCTCAATAGAAATGCCCACTATTCCCTAGGAGCCTCCTTTGACAGTTCAGGTGATTTCTGCTGGCAAAATCAAGGATGCGGTCACAAGATATGTGACCATGGTCTACAAAGTGAGTTCATTGACAGCCAGAGCTACACAGGAAACCCTGTCTCAAAAAACAAAACAAACAAAAAATAAATAAAGGAAGAAAGAGAAGGAAGATAGGGAGGGAGAGAGGGAGGGAATAAAAGGAGGAGGCTACTTGTCATGGGCTAGGAGTTCAGAGCACTGTGCCATAAACGACAATGGACACCAGCCACTCAGCATGTATAGTCTTTCCATGTTATGTGTGGCAGATTATTACTTATTTGCATAGGGGAAAGTGACAAACTTGCCACCTCAAACTTACTCTAGGCATGCTTAGAGGCCACCCAGAGGAAGGGGGCAGTAAACAGACTTTGGTTAAGACTGGCCATTGGAAGAATAAATACATACATCTGAGACAGGTGAAAGTGGGGGAGACCCATTTCCATTTGCTTCAAGTGGTCTTGATCCATGCAGCTCCACCTGTGGCCTCTCGCCACCGACAGCTGGGATTGCTATTTTCAGTCTTGTTGCAATACTTTCGGCACGTTCAGAAGCATGACTCGCGATACTCTCCCAAGACCACTTCCGTATTCTATTCAATTAGTGCTCAGCTTCCTGCTCTCCTGATGCTCCAGACCCAGGTGCAAGGTTCAGACCACCTGCTACCTGAGAAGCAGGACATTTCAGCCAAGACACTTGGCAAAAAGCACTGGAGCTCAGGAGAGGCCTGAGGGGCAAAGAAAGATCCAAAATCTAACGACCAAGCTTTCTGCAATCCTCCCACTGATAGAAACAAACTAAAATGTTTGCAATGTCTGGGTTTTCTCTGAGCCTGTAATCTCATCTGAGAGAGAGGGAGGGAATTTGAGGTATAAGGACCCACTTTGGGGATGCCGAAGCTAGGAGTGATTCCGAGACTGGACAGATGTGATCCCATCAATCTGTTCACTAACGCTATTTAAGCATACACCATACAGACAGACTTTTGCACTAAATAATTGTAGCTTTATTTTTCTCTCACAAAATACAAAGTTTTGCACCACATTATGGTAGTGTTTTAACACAAGAAAACCCCAAGGCATTCGTTGGGAGAGGGGAGGGTTCTACAACATTGATTTGTATCATTCTTAATATTAAAGGAAACTGCCGTGACAACAGGTGCTGACCAGGTAGAACATGCAGGTTATTGCTTAGAACGTGCATCAACTGTAGAATGGCACACATACGAAGAATACAAACATTTCAAAAGTTTAATGAAAGTTCTGAAAAGATACTTTCTAATCCCTTCAAACAAAGTACAACCAGAAACCAAAATTAAAGAGACTCAATTGTATCTTAATTACCGATACATCTTATAAATACTGATCTATAAATTATCTGGCCTTATGTTTTATAAATAAAACTCTTCAGTCTTACGTAAATAAGTTATTAAGCATATTTTGAGAAACTTCCAAAATCTTTATGACAACATTATATATTATAGTCTCAGAGAAAAAGTGTATATATCACTATAGTTAATGCATGTACCCCAGTTTTAAAGTGGCATTTGCAAATAAGATGTATGTTGAAATGCTTTTACAAATTCAAGAACTGGAAAATGTCATAACTTCTCCTACTTTTAGGAATACCACCTACACAAAAGATCCTTGAGTACAAAGGAGACAACCCCACAGAAGGCAATCAGGCAGGAAACGAAAATACAGAGCATGTTCTGTTCACAGCTACATTTTAAAGTTCAATTAGCCAAAAAAATAGCAAATGGTTATAACACACATTAATTACAGAATTACATAAAAAGGTAAAGAAAAAAATTGAGATGGTATCTAATAAGTTTTCAGCCAGAGGTATAGAGCTTATAAATTAGAGATTTAGAAATCATTTTCCTTGTATTTGGTCTTGTTGTGTAGGGCCTGATATCAAAACTGATGTTCAGAGTGGATAAATGTAAACGTTTGTGATGCAAATAAAACCATCTTTAGAAGCTGCCTACTGCTATCAAAAACTAACCAAGTATGACACACTATCAAGTAGGTAGAAGCTGACATCTGGGCCACAAAGGTCCCAGGATGCTGAACTCCAGGAAACACTAACTCAGCAGCTAGTAGTTTGTCTTTAAAAATAAAAAACAGTACCACAGAAGTCTTTTTCTATTGTAAAGCAAGACTCTAAAACAACTTGCCACAAGCCAGAACCTGCCCTCATCAAATAACTCCATTTTACACCTCAATACTGCCATGGGGTCTATAATGAACATTTATATCATTAACACACCTACAATAAATCCCCAGCTGAAACACTTCATAAAACTTATTGCTAAACCAGTTTAGAAAAGAGCTTACAGGTGTTTAATAAAACCATAATTACCTTTGTTTCATGTTGTAAAGAGGTATTATTACATGCTGACTGGCTTCCTGTAGCCTAATAATAAGTTGTAGTTTGTCAGATCTTTATTTAAACATCCAATGATGCTTGATTCCATGAAAGAACCTATTTGTAAACTATGAGACCGAGAAGCACACAGGTGACTGGGGATGTCTCAGAAGATGGCATAGAAAGGTCCTAGCATATGGAAGTGGGATACTGAAGTCTGCGAGGCATCAGAGAGAAGAGATGGGCAAGCCAGGTGAGCTCAGGCAGGAAACTCAACAGAGGAATACCATCTTTGAAAGGAAAAAATGGTCTTGCCGTCTCCTCTCACACCAGGTCCTGTGGGTTTTTCTCATGTCTGCACACATCCGGAGAGTTCTGCGTCAGGGTTGGCTTTCAGTAGCTTTAGTATGAGTCAGCCATAGTTAAGGCCAGGAGGTGTGTGTGTGTGTGCATTCAGAGTCACACAGGAAGACTCTCACTGGTGTGTTGGCTCACATCTGCTCAAAAGCGCTACACATTCTGACAAAATAAAACGTTTGCTTTTGATGAAATCCAAAACACCAAAATGCATACACTTCTATGAAACATTACTGATGCCCATAACTATGTGAGCTTTTCAACTGCACAAAAGCCACTGAAGTACTTAAAAGGCAGGCCTCGAAAACAAACCAATCTATAGGATGCTTATTTACATGCTAGGAGCTAACAGCTGTGTAGGAACAAACTTATCCAGATATGATAATAGAGTCTTGTGGGGCGTGATTTTTCTTTAAAATGAAAGGAAAGAAACATGTGCATTATGGTGACACTTTTCCCTCTGTGCCTCCACGACAGGCATTTCCAAATGCCTAAGAAGTGCCACCAGCAGTCAATGAATCCTCAAGAAAAACTTGTCTCCAAATGCCCAAGGTCTCAGAGAAAGCAATTAAAAAATCTGACACTTGAACAAAAACTGAGTTAAACAAATTACTAAAATTCATGAAAGAATTTCATTCAAATACCTATAAACTAGGCAATTTTCCAACCAGACCCTTAAGGACCCAGTTTATCTATAAAACAGCAAACTAACTCTTAGAGATGGTAACAACCTATCATTATACCTCTTAACACATAACTGGCCCATGAAATAACAAAAAGCAGTTAAAATTTAAAAAGTCAACATACCATAAAGTAATTTAACTTTGAGTTAATTTCTGTGCATGCAAACATAACTCCATTTTAATTTCAAAGAAATGCAAATGACCCTCTACATAATTTTTAGACACAAGAGTGCAAATTCTATAAACCCAAGCTCAAAAATTTTAGTCTCACACAAAATATTTAATGCAGGATCCACGATCTTGCATGCTATTAGTTATTTTTGCTCTTTTTAAAGTTCCATGAAAACTTTTGTTTTCTAGAGTACTACACATTCAGATTGTCACTAATCTTTTCTAGAAAAATAGAATTGCTTAAAAATTTATACCAATTTGCTTTTATTTTCTATAAAGATTTTTAAGAGTTGTTAAATATCAGAATGCCTAATAGACTCATTTAAATTAATCCACGTAGCCAAAATACTTATTATCTAAAATACCTAGCAAAAATTTGTCATTCAATAAATGAAAATTTCATTGTTTTAGTAAATATTGTCTTTATTTGTATTTTAGGTTGATAAGTATAATTACAGAACAGCAAACCCAGCCCCACTGAAGGACGGGCTTGCCGTGGCAGTTTACAGAGCATTGCCGTTGCATTTCTTCTATGAAAGAATGTGGAAAGTTGGCTTGTGGGTGCTGCAGCTAGCAAGGACTGCTAACAAGGGAATGACAAATCTTAGTTTAACGTTTGCTATGTAAATATACTTACTTGATGACTGGCGATACCAATCAATGAAAAGTAATGGCAATGGTCTTTTAAGCAGGAAATAATTATTGCCTACATGGAAATTCATAATTCTGTGCTGTCATACTTTTGATGGTGAGCTTGAAGTCTGTTCAGAACTGCAGCAATATCCATAGGCCAGAATTTATCTCAAGATTTATTCCTTCTTTAGTGAATTTCCAAAATAGTTTTATAATACAAAAATCTTCTTTCCTTAAAAAAAAAAAAGCCCACTTTTCTTGTAAAAGTGTTGGGAACAACACATAATCACTTGTGTTCCTACTCCTTTACCCTCAGACTACGAGCACTCTTGAGTGCCTGTGATGCAGACAGCAATAAACTTAGTGAGTCATTGCCAATGTAACATTAGCTGCTTTAAAGAAGTCCTATCTTTTACATTACTTTATCTTTCAAAAGTGAATATACCTGATTTTATCATTTTATTGACTGAAATTTCAATTCCCATCTTTAAGCATACTAGACCGTGCCAGACTCTATCTGTTTTAGACAATTAAATTAAACTGCATTACATTAAATACTTTGATTACATTCCACTAGCCTCCTTCCCTCATCATAAGATGAATAATGAAAGAGTCAAACTTACCCCTTCAATCTGAGACTCTAGATGGATTAAATCTTTTGGTTTAGGTTCAGTTAAATTCAAGTATTTACCACTAACTGAATTAAGTCTCTTTTTTCTTAAGGACAATCGTTAAAAGTCAAGTACTTCAGAAAAAATAAATAAAGGCAATAATAGCTAAATATATAATTCTCTATTTGGATTTGCAAGAACCAAAGTGAAAGTAAACACACACACACACACACAATTACTTTCTTCACATAGAATAAATTTGATAAGCAGAATACTTGGGTTAAATCACCTTCCTTCCTTCCTTCCTGCTCAAGAAAAATAAAACAGCAAAGATGAAATAAGAAAACCTGAGTAAAGTATATGAATAAGACACAAACACTGATGTATCTGTAGTTTCCATCTGACCAATACATGGCCGATGTCAGGAGTATGACAAATGCACTCCGGAAGAGACTGGTATTCTGGTGCCAGGCTTTGAACTCAGGGAAGAGTTTGCAGGGAGAAGTATATTTTTCATGGAAAAAGTACGAGGAAACAGAGGGGAAGGCAGCAGATCCTAGTGAGTCCTTCTACTAGCTTAAGTAGTCATCTATTAGCATGCACTTTTAGAAGACATCCATCCCTAAGGTCCACACAATGAGTCTTAGCCTTGCCTGACAATATAATTAAAATATATATATATAGTTGGATAAAGCATTAAAGATAGAAATAAAGTGGCATCTGAAATCTTAAAAGGCAGGAAGTATTTTCAAACACGGTATTGAAGTGAGTGAAATACTCCATCATAATAAATGACTGCACACCCAAATGAAATTGTGTCATTTCTGATGGCCTGGGGAAAAGGACATGTTAGCAACTTAGAAATTAAACCCCACACAGGCACTGGCATTAGAAAAGAACACAGCACAACATATTGAGCTGCTTACAGACTTAAAAGTCATTCTCATTCCTTCAGCAAAATGGGTGGCATATCAAGGTCACCCAATTACCAGTCATTTTTTATGCAAAGAACATTCCCCCATGTACACTGAGAGTTCAAAAAAGTTTCACCGCTCTACTTACAACTTCTATTTAAACCTTCGATGTCTATCCATGCTTAAAATGCAGAAGGAAAGAAGAAATCTTGGGAGTGAAAACTAAATTTTATTTTCTCTTTTCTAAAGATGAAAAAGAAGGAAACACTGAAACTCTGGATAACAATCATGACTAATAGAGCATGCCAGGAACTCATCTACTGGTAGATGCGACGTGGGGAGGAATGAAGATGGCTTAAGGAAACAGAGGTGTTTGATGAAGCACGCGTTTAATCGAGTTTTCCGTTCTGAAGGCTATTCTTGGCTTTCTCTTGTCTGATGAGAGAGATGACCTTGATGCACCCTTTTGTAATTTTGATCATCCACATGACATTCATCACATCTAAAACAAAACAGGTAGACACCCAGGCAAACTGGATCGTAAATCCAAGCCTGTTAAAGGCTTCTGTTCCGTACACGGAGTATATGAAGAAATACAGAGGAGGTATTGCAATGATCCGCACTATGAAAAAGACCACTGTCATGAGGATTCCATTGATGACATTGGCTTTGGAAAACTTGGGGTACTTCAGGGTTTCAAAGAACCACCTGATAAAGAAAATGAGAGAAACATTACACTTTCACTACAGCTTGGGAATCTACCATCTTATTCTCAAGTTTTAGGCTATAAAAGAATTCAAGGAACATTAACAATTTGCAGAGCAGGGCTGGGGAAGGTGGCTCTGTGGATAAAATGCTTTCTGTGCCATGGCAGGGACTTGAGTTCTGCCTCTTGGAGAAAAGGTTTCCACAGATTAAAACTCAACCACACAACTTCAGACTGATATTTGTAACCTACCTCTGGTTCACAAAGGGGCTGGAAAGCTCGGCAAGCAGGCGGAAATTGGCAATGTATGCAAGCACTCCATCTCTCTGGATAAGAGACAAAAACCATGTCAGGGACTCATCAAAATATGCAAACGTTCTAGAAATAGTAAGTCACTTGATATATAATCCATCAATATAAAAACAAACCAGGTGTCAACTTCTTTTCATTAAAAGAATTTTATTCTTGCCGGGCGGTGGTGGCGCATGCCTTTAATCCCAGCACTCGGGAGGCAGAGGCAGGCAGATCTCTGTGAGTTCGAGGCCGGGCTGGACCGACAGCCTCCAAAACAATACAGAGAAACCCTGTTTCGTAAAACCAAAAAAAAAAAAAAAAAGAATTTTATTCTTTTTTTAAAGGTTGTTTTTAGGTGTATGAGTGTGGGCCTGAATGTTTCTATGGGCACCATATGCATGTCTGGTACTCTGGGAACCAGAAGATAGTCTCCTAGATCACAGTTACAGGCAGTTGTGAGCTATTGTGTGGGTGCTAGGAACCGAACCCAGGTCCTCTGGAAGGGCAGCAAGTGCTCTTAACTGCTAAACCATCTCTCCAGCCTCCTGGTTTTCTTCCTCAGACTTTAGAGATCTGCTTAGAAGTCTAAGGTGATGAAAGATGGTTCATCACACATTTACATCCCCTTAGAATGTCATGTTCACCCAGGAAAACAGAAATCATGCAACTGGCTCACACTGGACTAACACGCTCTATCACCCACCACTAAAGCATCCTCAAACTACTCTAGGAAAAATGATCACATGGAAGTGTGAGTTTCAAGAGTTATCGTAAACACCTATAGGCATTCCATTATGAAGTAGAAGTGCTTAAGCATCCAAAAGTATAATTATCCTCTACTGTGATAATTATTAATATGAGCAAGTATATATGTGCTAAACACACAACACTTGATCTAGAAATATATGCCTGTCAATTGGAAGATCCTAGAGCTAAAACACACACACACACACACACACACACACACACACACACACATACGGGGCAGGGCAGGGCGGGGGGGGGGTAAAGATTGCCTTGATACACACAGAACTTGGCAAACTATTTTCTGACCAGGTATGCCATGCATGAAACATTTAAAAATGAATTTTTATCTGAAGAATTTTTTAAATACTTATTTATCTACATAATGATTTGGGGGATTTAAAATTCAGCACGTGACCATAGAATTAGCTTTACTGGGGTTATTTTTTCCTATTTTCAAGTTCATTGTCTTTAGTGACAGTGGAATGTATGAGTAAGGAGGAGGGAGGATGGCCAAACACCAAACCAACAGGCAAGAGGAGAGCCCTGTGTGCGCAAAAGAGGCCAGCTTGTCACAGTGACCCGGGACACTGCCACCTGAAGAGCAATGTGTGAGATGTCACGATGTGTGTGGGCTCACTGATTTCACATAGACACGGTGAAAAGTTAACAGTGCCTGTTAGTAGTAATAACACCAACTCAGTAAGGTTTTTTTAATGACAGTACTTCTACAGCCACTCTTACTGTTCCTTTACCTCTGCTGAACAGTTAAATATGCTATATCACATGTCTCTAGGAGAATACATAACACATTTTAAGAATAACATAAACAAAATAGAGCTAATTAGAACTAGAATAGGTTTAAAAATAACATTTTTTCCTGTCCCATGATACAAGATATTTTCCTTTTCTGTTTCCTTTTTCAGTAACACTTCTTCCTTTCCAGTGACCACCTGCAGCCAGAGGGGAAAATTTTTGAATGCAGTGTGGAAAACTACTACATTGAATCATGAGATCCACTTGCATTTCAGCTCCTCAGCCAACCATATTCTCCCCACAAAGATGCTAGGATACAGAGTGTGTTTTGATTGCAACAGCAGGCTTTTAGAATTACAAAAATTAAGTTTCCTGTTCCCCAGTAACATCTAGCCACTTCGTATCTAAAATCGTGTTTTAGTGGACCAGCTGCTATCCCTTAAGTTCCTTTGCAGACAAGAGGTCATCAGCTACACTACATATCTCTGAATGCTGTTTCCATACTTTAAGTACACTGGACTCCCTGATAAACTGTAATAGAAGCCTGTTTGGTGTGGCTACAATTTTTTCGTTGTTTTTTTCATACACAGCTCATGCTGACTCTGACCCCCTGATCTTCCTGCCTCCACTGCCTGCTTCCACCAAGCCCGATATTAAGCGCTGCTATGAGCAAAACCCAGAGCTCTCTGCATGCTAGACAAGCACTCAACCACTGAGCTACATTTCCATCCTCTAATTTATATTTAAGTTTTGAAGCTACCTTGTTTCCTAAACACAAGTAACTCATTTTTTTTCATGCAACCAATACCTCAAACAACTCAAATGAAAATGGTTTCCTCCTGTGGCCTCCTCAAAAATCAAAGAGTTATGAGAGACTGTCCATAAACATTTGCTTTACTGTACTATTTTTCTACATTTTCATCCAACTTATTTCAAAATCAAAGCAAGCCATTCTTGTCCCAACTCAGAAAATAGGAGTTTGTAGCATCTGGCTTTTCAGCATCTTTGTGGCCAGCAGAATCCTGGCTGTCTTGTGGGCATGTGTCCTCAGAGGTTTTTACCCTCACCCGAAGTTATTTTTTTAATTAAGTGGTTCCAGAGGTTTTGATGAAATTTATAAGTAGCTGAATATAAAATCCTCAATTTCAGAAGTTGTGTACAGGTACGCAAGAAATTTAGCAGGTAATATCCCCCCCTCCTCCACCCTGCGCCTTGCTGAAATTGGCCAAAATGTGTACATGTGTTCCCTGCCTAGCATAAGATGAGCAACACCTCGTTTGCCTGTTAACAATGTATCACCAACTCTTATTTTGCTTTCTATGTCTAACTCGGTTTTTCAAAAAGCACCCAAAAATGGACACTTTTTATTGCCATGACTCAAAGTTCCATGTGACTACAGAAGAGTCCAAATGCTGCTCCCATCTGCCAGAATCAGCTCTGTTGCAAGAGGTCAAATATCTTTTGGGCCCCACAACCCTCCTCCTCACACCCATTTTGTCAAGAAGAAATCTGAGTTACAGCCTTGGAATTAGGAAATGCAAGTTTACTCAATTTCATGTAGCAATCAAGAGGAAAATACCATGGGTATGTTCATGTGGTATTGTCTAAGCTAACTCAGGCTGCTGCTGCAACGAGCATCAACATCTTTCTGAAAGACGAGAGGGCACAGCTTGATTTAGATGTAGCTGCCCAATGCACCCCAGACTTGTGAAATCCCATGTCCTTCTGTGCCCTTACATGTCTTCAACTGAAAGTGTATTAATGTGGAAGAATTGCAACAAAGAAACAGGTGGTAGGTGGAGGGCACAGTGTTTCAACAAGAGAATGCGTCACAGTTTTAGAAGCCAGAAGTCCAAGGTGAAAGTGCCAACAGGTCAAGGAAATTCTCTGCTCTATCCTTGCTTCTGATGGGACTAACTTCTATCTTCACACAGAATCCCTGGGCCCAAACTGTCCCTTTTAATATGGACATCAGTAAGGGTTTATTAAAGGCCCACTCTACTGCAATATGAACTCCTCTTCACTAATTATGTATGCAAACAGACCTACTTCCCAATACTCATTTAGAGGTACTAGAAGCTAGGAATTCAACATAGGAATCCTAGAGGGAACTTATTTCAAGTCACACTAATGTGGAATCCCTAATTCTTTTCTGCATATTACATAGTATGTTTTGTTTTGACTACATTTCTCTTTAATTCAATGTTATAGGCCTTTCTATCTGCCTGTTAATGGCATATGTCTATATGCTATTATATATCCTTATACAAGAATGATGACCTTTTATCAGTGATATCTGGGCATTCAAGTAGCATTCTAACTAGTCTCATTTTCATTATATAAACTCTTAGAAAAAAATACAGTTACTCTAGAAAATTTAGCCTTGTAGATTAAACCATGCAAGTCACAACTCTCAGTCCAACACCCAAAGTCTATGAGGGACTCCTGCTGCGTACAGTTACAATACACTTCAGTTACATCAGAATGTCCCAGTGATAGATGGTCCATTATTAGGAACTGTAAGTCAGAGTTCCCATGGATGGTTTCACATCATGGGTAGGGTTTCCTTGTTTCCTGGGACGTAGGATTTTCAGAGGTCTGTCTTTCTTGGGTAGGTCACGCTCACTTTTGTTTCATTATAAATTTGCTTAATACATAATAGATGTCACATTTGCAGCTAGGAAACAAAAGATGAAAACCAGAACAGCCTGACCTCTCTAATTTGCACAGCATGAAGAAGCACTTTAAAAATAACAGGAAACAAATTGCTACTCATATTGCAAGTGCATGCATATTTTATGTGCATTCGTAATAAAAAAATTGTGGCAACTTCTTAAAAGAACGGATTTGCCCAGAAGAATTGCTTAGAGGGATTGAAGAGATGGCTCAGCAGTGAAGAACACTTGCTACTCTTGCAGAAGATAGGAGTTTGCCTCCCAGCACCCACATGGTAGCTCATAAGCACTTTGTAACACTAGTTTCAGTGAACCTGATGTCCTCTCTGGTCTCTGCAAGTACCAGGCATTATACACACACTAAAGCACGCACGCACACACACACACTATGAAAATAATAGATAAATCTTTTTAAATGAACTAGTCAGAGCATCCAACTTAAAAGGGGGTTAAATCTCAACATGGTGATCCACAGCTGTTATTCCAGAACATAGGAAGATCCTAAGTTTTAGCCAACTCAGGCTACATAACAAGTACTTGTCTCAAAAGAAAAAATAATGCTTTTATATAAAAAAGAAATTAGAAGAACAATGTTTAATGGAACATCATCCAAATAAAATAAGATACTGATTTAAATCCTGTACTGAATTAAAGCAAGAGACATAAACTTTGAAAATATATACAAAAGTCTTGGGGTAAATTATGCAAAGGAAAAAGATGTTCTTAGTGGGATTCTTACTTGAACTTGAACCAGGTACAAAAGTCTTAGAAATATGTGTTACAATAATCCCTCTTTTTTGTATTTTTTCTGTTTGTCTGTCCTCCCCTACTTCATGTTTTGTTTTGACACACAGAGT